TATGCAAATTCTTATTATATGCTCTGGTTATGTGATATGTTTGATACATCGCTGTGATTATGGGGTAGAAACTGCTAGGCATGGTATGGGACATGCCCAAGTGGGTTTTGCACACGCGCGACTGTGATGTATTGATGTATGCAAATTCTTATTATATGCTCTGGTTATGTGATATGTTTGATACATCGCTGTGGCATGTGACTACCTATGTCATGCATTATATGTATGCCAAAGCAGGGTAAGGATGCCTGTGGTTGATTAATGACTTGTGTCGAGTGCGTGGTCGCGTGATTAGGGACCCCGAGGCGAGTTGGCCTTCTAAACGGGGCTTAGGCCGTTAACTTATCGAGACTTTCGTCTCGTTTGTTGTTGTTAATCATTTTTCAGGCCCTTAGCATGTTGATGCACCCAGTTTGGTTCAGGGTGTCTGGAAGCTAGCTTTTTGGGATCGACCTGTTGGTGAAGTAGATTAGCCCCAGTCTGGTATCTTTTTGTTGGCTTTTGTGGTAATGCCTGAAGTGGGCATGTAAAAATATTCCCAGGGGTTAATCAAGTGAATATTAAAATGGTGTTGTTGTTTATCTTTTGTGAATCGTTTTCCTATCTATTCTTATTTATTGTAGTTGTCCGGGTGATTGTTGTTATCGCTTCCGCATGCATAATTAAAAGCTAAAATGAAGGGTCGACGACGAGTCCTGGGACGTCGCATCGTGACGACCATAGTGGGATGTTGCGCGTCCGTAGGGTTCGGGGCGTGACACTTTCGCTCGTGCATCTCTTCAATCCATCGACTGTGGCTTGCTTCCATATTGAAATCTTGGGTGGTTGGACCATAGCCTCCTGGGGGTCATAGTAAATCTTGTGATCTGTACAACATCTGACCAAAAAAAGAAATGTGTAGAGCTTTTGATTCTTTCCTACTCTCTTAGAAAATGTGTACGGCTTACACACACACATATATCATCTTGTTCACTATCATCTGCTAAGTGGTTTCCATAACTGAAATCTTTGTCAATTTTAATCTCGAAACTTAACAATAATTACTTCAGGTTCATGTCTGGGAAGTAAGTAATGTTATTCAGTAATTTATTCTCGATTATTGTCAAACAACTCCTTAATTCTATTTCTTGATATTACCAACGCTTAAAATTTTAGTGCTTACAATCGAACCACTTAGTTTCCAATTTCACCCCAAAAGCCCGAAGTGACGGGCCAATTTTTCTCATGACTATTTAAAGAAGCTAACGATTCAATACACGGATCCCGTTTGTTTCGATACCCAATTAAAAATTGTCGCGTCATTTGATAGGTAAAAATTCAGTAAAAAATCTTGGTAGCTCTAGCATTTCTCATCTCCAATTCCTATTGCTGAGAGATTGGGATTGATGACTTAGCAATCAATTATTCCCTTCGCGTCGAAATTACCAACATGTTCAACATTGATAGCTCATGTCAGCTGCATATATTATAGGCGTGTTTGGCGAGGAGGACTCTTGGGGTGCATTTGGCAATCATTCTGTTCCCGAAAATAATTTCTGTTCAGAAATAATTTTTTTTATTCCGTGCCCGGAAACAATTTCTAAGTATTTGAAGATGTTTGGTAACCGTCTAAAATTTCTATTCTTGGAATAGAAAAAGAACATAAATGCATTTGGTAATTGCACAAAATTTCTTTTTATTAATAATATTTTGAATTTTTTAATATTTCTTTCTCTTTTTTTTCCTTTTTTTTCTTCTTCTTCTCCTTCCTTGGCCATGGCTAGGTCATCAGCGTCGGCAACCGGCCACAGATGCCAGCGACAGGCCACAAATCAGGGCCGGCGAGGGTGGCTCGCGACTTGCGCGAGTGTCGCCCTCGCCGCCGCCCTCACCGGCCACAGGCTAGGAAGAAGAAGAAGAAAAAAAAATTCATTTCCATTTCTGATTCTTGTTCCTAGAATCAAGAAGCAATTTTTTTTTACTTCTTGATTCTGTTCCAAAACTAATTTTAGGCAAATTTGTTCCCGAGAATAAAAAATTTACCAAACGGATTTCTATTCCAAAACTGATTTTAGGAACAAAAGAATAGAAATAGTTACTATTTGGCAGGTTGCCAAACGCGCCCTTGGTCTTTTTCTCAGTTTCTTCGAACTGTGCTTTCCTCCTTTTTTTTCTTTTTTCTATTTTTGTTTGTTCTTCTTGGCCAGACATTCTTTTCTCTCTTTCTTTGTGGTCTTGTAATTCCCTCTGGATAATTCAAGTTTAGGGACAACATTGTGCATTTTCAAATAGTCTATGGACTAACTTGAGCATGTACCAAAAGTTTAAGGACCACATCGAACAATTTAAAAGTTCAGGGACGACATTATATATTGGGCTAAATTTTAGAGACTACATTAAACAAAATTAAAAATTCACGGATTACGTTGCCTATTAGGCCAAAGTTGATTGACCATTTATGTCATTTTTTCATTCCCTTGTAATGGCATCAATTGAAGCAAGACCAAAGAAAGGGCTTAAACGAGACACTTGGGCTTGATCATATTTATTATTTTTTGCAAGCCCAGTTATTCCCTTGAAATTGGGTGGCGTGGGGTGTGGGAGGTTCGACTCTCACATTCCACTGAGAGAGGGAGGAGAGTTAAAGTAAGATCCAAGAAAAAATAATTCAAAAAGCTTGATCAGGATAGAGATAATGGATATGTGGCGAGGGGTGAAGACAGGGACATCATTGATGTTTTTTTTTTTTGTGAAAAATTTCAAATAAGGGCATGAAGTGTCAATATTTTCTCAAATAAGAGTCTGAAGTAGCCATGCAGTCTCAAATAAAGACCTAAAGTGGCCATAGCAATTTCAAATAAAGGCTTGATCTTGTCGGTCGCTGGCTGGTCAAGGGCATTTCTATCCAAATACAATTTTAATTTTAAATTATTTATTTATTTCTTCTTTGAGTTTTTTCTCATTTCTTTTTTTTTTCCTTTCCGGCGAGCGCTTTGCGAGCGAGGCGACCCTCACCTAAATCTGGTGAGGGTGGCCCTCGCCAGATCGAGCATGGGTGATCCTCGCCCAACCTTCTTCGGTGACCGGCCACTAGCGAAGAAGAAAGAAAAACTAGAAAAAAAAGGTAAAAATAAAGAGAAAAGGAAAAGGGGAAAAGTTCAAGAAAAGGTAAAGAACGAAAATGCCTTTGATTAACCGAAAAGTCAATCCCTTCTTTGAAACTAACATAACTATTTTATGCCCTTATTTGAAACAAGATTCACTTCAGACTCTTATTTGAGAAAATAAAAATACTTCATGCCATTATTTGAAATTTTTCCTTTTTTTATGGGTGTGAAGGCAAAGAAGATGATACTTGATGAGGGTGCGAAGGCAAAGAAGTTGATAGTTGATACATCAATTGATACAGTTGATAGTTGATACATGATGGTCTTATACTATCACTATCATCTTCTATAGCGAAGATGATGGTCTTATAAGACCATGTTCTTATACCATCATATTCTTATAAGACTATCATCTTATAAGATTCTAGAATTCTAGAATCTTATAAGATGATGGTCTTATAAGAATATGAGCGAAGATGATGGTCTTATAAGATGACGGTCATATAAGACCATGTTCTTATACCATCATATTCTTATAAGACCAGATGATAGTGATAGTATAAGAATATGGTCTTCTATGCCTTCACGCCCATAGTCTTCACCCCCATAAATAAAACATCGCTGATGTCCCTGTTTCCACCCCTCGCCTCGCCATGGATCTTACCTCCATTGTCTCTATCCTGGTCAACTTCATCCAAGTGAAATACCAGGGGAAGTTGATTTCACCCTTTGAAACTCACCCTGTTGCCACCGGCGTCGCCATCTGCAGCCTGCTCCTACATTTCTTGTTGGTGCACGCCGCTAATTGGGCACCGCAGTCTCGCGCCCGTGCTCCTTCTCGTGCTGGAGCATCGCACCTCCTCGTCGACTTCACCAGTTGGATATCAGTGGCTTTGCTCGCGTGGTTGCTGCTCCACGACTCCTTCCACTCCGTCCCATGGTTCGTGCTGCTCCTGTTGCTTTCCATGAATCTGTTGCGCGTCCTCATTCGAAAACTTTGTCTGTGGTGTTACCGCAAACTTGTTCTCATGATTATCCGTGCTGCGCGGTCTCGTCTGTGGCATGGTGGAAGAGCGCAGCCACTTTCACCGCGCGCGGCCGTGGATCTGCGTTTCATGCTGGAAGTCTGAGTGCCGAAGTTGTTCGACTGTTCCCCGCTTGAGAAAAGTAATCTTATTTATATGACCACTTTAAAACAAGTGATGAGGAAGCTTGCTAGTTTTATATAAGAGGCACTTGGGGCTTTCTTTTCTTTATCTGAAGCCCATAAGGAGTCCCCAAGCCTTTGGCATCAAACTATCTCCCGACCATGAGAAACGAAAACAGGGAACGAGTAAAAAACCACCTATGTATCGCTCCTATTCCAAGCCATGACTGGTGATGCACCTTGTAGCAACTAAATCCAATTAAGATAGGCTAAGCTAGAAAAAAAAATTGGGATCTATTGTTATTGAAGAGATCGGAGAACTGTTATTGCTTACTAGCTATTTCGATGATAATATAGTTTTAGTTTGTCGTTGCAGAATGAGAGTGGTTACATCATATAGTCTTCATTCTACCTCTGAGAGGTGACAACTAGATCCTTGCTGTGGCAAATGCATCAACACTTTGCAATCTACGTCTACTCAAGTTGATTCATAATCAAATTATGCATCCCAATGTTAATACTTCGATATATGACAGAGAGCACACAAGTCTCCAGTTCTTTACTTCAATCAGTCTCAATTCTTCACAAGAACAAGAGTCTCCAGTTCTTTTCAAGCAATCTCATTTCTTCTGAACTTATGTCCCGTCGAAACAATAAACTTTAATACGTATTTCTCAGGTCAAAACATGAGATTTCCTTGCTTCGAGCTTGAGGAACGGTTTGAGACGTCACCTGAAGTTATCTGAAGTATGTGACTTTCTTGGCTATTCAAGAAAATTAAGCAGCAATATAATCAAGTGAAGTGAAAGCTCTTTGAGCATCTGAAATAACTTAAATTCTTAGTATACAAACTTAGAGCTCCCTAAACAAGAACTAAATGTTGAATTTCCTCCCTGCTCCCGGACAGCTTCAGCTGTCCATCCAATTCATCCAGCAACAAATAAATCTCGCTGGCATCCGGATGATCTTTATCGGAAGCTGCAAACTGATGAATCTCACCTTCCATTTCAATCGAACTAGCCCCAGGACATTCCTTTTCCACTCTCTGTTCTTTCATGGATGCTCTGATCTTCGCAACCTCTCCCCACCGACTCACTTCCGCGTACATATTAACTAAAAGAGCAGAGTACCCACTATTTTCTGGCTCCAAAACCTTCAATGCATTAGCAGCAACTTGAGCTATCTCCAAATTTCGATGGAGCTTACACCCGCCAAGCAATGCACCCCAAATAACAGAATTTGGTTCGACTTTCATATTCTGAATCAATTTGAGGGCATCTTCCAGCAATCCGGCTTTGCTCAATAAATCTACCATGCATCCGTATTGTTCGACGCCGGGAGTGATGTTATAATCATCGGTCATGCTACAAAACCACCGTCGGCCTTCATCTACTAGCCCGGCATGAGTGCACGCACTTAAAACGCTAACAAATGTCACCCCATTAGGCTTTATCTTTTCTCTCTCCATCATCTCGAACATTTTAAGTGCATTTTCTGCATAACCATGCATTGCAAGCCCTTCAATAACAGAGTTCCAGCAGAAGAGGTTTTTCTCTCGCAACTTGTAAAATACCACAAGCGAACTATCTAAGCTCCCGCACTTGGCATACATATCGACCAACGCGGATCCAATATAAACATCAACGCAGAATCGGTTCTGCATTGCATAATGATGGATTTCCTTCCCCGCGTCTAGTGCACTGAGATGAGCGCAAGCTGAAATTACAGCAGCAATGCTCACTTCATCAGGGGTAATTCCATGAGCAGTCATCTCTCGAAACGTGGTCAATGCTTCTCTGAATCGCCCGTTCTGAGAATAGCATGTGATCATAGTCGTCCATGAGATGATATCCCTCACTGTCATCTGTTCAAACAGCGACTCAGCCAATTCAACATCACCCAACCTTGCGTACCCATCAATCATAGCATTCCAAGCAGCCACATTTCTTTCAGGCATTTCCTCAAACAATGCCCTGGCAGCGCTCATGTCGCTTGAACGGGCATGAGCCGAGACCATCGTAGTCCAGGCAAAAGCGTCTCTTTCGGGCATTTCATCGAACACCTTCCTCGACTCTATAATATTACCAAAACCCGCATACAAATCGATCAGAGCTGTCTGCACGAACACATGCGAGCCGAACCCATTTCTCCAGGCGTGACCGTGAACACTCTCCCCCAGCCCCGAGCCCTGCGCCGCACCGCAAGCCTTGACCAGTGACGACAGGGCGAAACTCGTGGCACGGACATCGTCCCTCAGCATGGACTTGTAGCACTCGAGGGCAGGGACCGGCGAGCAACCGCGCGCCAGGCATCGGATCATCGCGTTGTAGACGAAGGCGTTGGGATTCTCCACGCGGTCGAAGGCCGAGACGGCGAGAGCCGGGTGGCGCGTGGCCGACGAGGCGGCGGAGATGAACTGGTTCATCAAGAAGCAATCTTGGTCCGCGCTTTTCTTGATCATGGAGGCGTAGATGGATTCGAGCTCGCTTCCGCTCGCGCATCTCTTCAATCGGTCGACGATGGCTTGCTTCCAGATCGAAATCTTGGGTGCTTGGATCATAGCCTCATCGGGGTCATGGTAAAACCTGTGAAAATGTGCACAACTTTCGATTCTTGAAAATGTGTGAAACTCTCGTTCTTTCCTGTCCTCTTTTCCCGCTCTCTTTGAGAATGTGTACGGCTTTTGATTCTTGAAATGAAATAAGGCTTATATGTACCTTTCGCGGGAATATAATAAAGCCGGAAAAAGCCCCTAAAAAGCCCTAAACTATACCCAACGCATTTATTGAAACTTTTTTTTGTGACATGAAAAATTCCAAATTTGTATTTATGTGATATATTCATTTTTCGTCAAGGTACAAGGTATCGTCATTGAGTACCATTAAAAATTTGTCTACATGAATGTTGGAAACAAATGGTATTGACATGGTGCACATGATTTAAGCAAAATAAAAATGACGTTGTTTTGACTGAAAAAAATTTGATGGATCCTTAATAGAGGATAAATGTGTAATGTAGGTACAAGTTTAGGGTTTTCTATGTTACAAAAAATATTCTAGGTAAATGTGTTACATTGAACATAATTTGAGATTTTTGGAGGTTTTTTTCTTTTTTTTTTCCATAAACATTCTTCGATTGGAACGCGGGGTTGTTTGTCTAAAACTACTTTCTCTTTAAAATTTAAAATATCATTAAATTTTGATAAATTATGAAAAAACATATGTGTTGTTTCGTGTCAATGGTCATATATCATGAAAATTTCAGGTATTTAAAATTTAAAAAATACAAAGGACTTGAAATTACGAAGATGTCCTCACTCAGCACTAGCAGCGATCCAAGTCGAGGTAGGCGAGCTCTGCTATCATATCAAAGGTGCAAGAGGTCCAAAACCCATCTGTTGCTCGTCACTATGTACTAAACTTCTCAAGTCAAATAGAAACATTACATTGGAAGATTGTTCGTTCGTAGGCATTCAATTAATTCCTGTCTTTCACTTATAAGAAAATTACTCAAACAGCTATTTCTCTATAAAGATTGTTTCCCTCTGAAAAAAAAAATATAATGTGTAACGCTTATATCACGTGACGTGCTGATGTGACGTCGCTCATCCAATCAAGTATCGATAATAATGTAATACAGAAAATCACGACAAACGACAACACCTTACTTTCTACGGGCAAATGGATGATACTGTATCAACATCCCCCTCGTGGCGTATATCTAGACGATTTTGTCCTTGCTTTGGGGAGTCCATACTTGTAACCAACTAACCATCGCTTCAAATGGCAAATGCAATAAGTAATAAAGATGAACAATTTGGGCCGAATGACATCAACATGAATGATTGGGCCCATGGGCTTGTTACTTGTATGGGCCTCATTGGACGGGTCATAGGCCCGACAAGTATGGAAAGATCTGCCCAGACCCAGAAAGTTCAATACTTTTATATTTTGCTTTAAGGGTAAGATTTCTCTTTTGGTCTCTCGATCTAATTTACCTTGAATATTCGGATAATATGTTTTGCAAATTTTTTTTGAGTAATCAATTAAATTCATGAATAAAGATTCAGCTTTAATAAGATAGGGAGTATACACATACTCAAAATTCATTAATATGATAATTCACGATACGAATGGGGTGGAAAAAGCGAATGCGGCTAATTTTTCTCTATCGCTCATTCAATTTTTTCTTGCTGCAGTCGCGCAATACTGCTCGTGCGTGAATAATGAGCTGCCTACTCCTTGTATAGTGCAAAGGATTGCAATGCATGCACGTAGGCAACGATGGGAAAATCACTAATTTTCGACTACTATTAAGTACCAACGTACTAAGAGTAGGTGACTGAGAGAACTAGAAAAGTATTGATTTGGTCGCATAACATGAAGACTAACCGCGTCGATTTTTCATGGGTTTTGGAAACGCGGCTTAGGCCGATACTAGAGATCGCGAGTACGCAACACTTGCGATCTAAAGAGAGAATATTTGAAGTGAGAAGCTCTAAAGAGACTGTATAAGAAAACTATTGCAAAGTGCTATTAGAATTTGTATTCACTTCCTAGCCTACTACTTCATTTGTGAACCAAACTCCATACTGTCACATTGGAGAGCAAGCAAAACAATTAGACTATCAGTAGTCACAGAATCAATACGACTGAGCCGCAGAAATACACTGTTTCTGTACTTCTAAACAAATTTCAGAAAGAACAAACCCAATAACCCTAAACAAAACTTTAGGCAAAAAACCAATTCTCTAGGCCTGATCATATCTTCACGGCCTAATCACTAAAATGGCAGCTTGAGATACTAATACTGCATATCTCTGCTTGATGATTTTAGTGACTTCATGGGATACTAACCAATGTTTCCATGGCATGGGACCAAGACGGACACCGATCCAACAAGTATTTACGGTAGACGAAATCCAGTCGCCACTTCATGCTATACTTTAGCTTGATCAGACAGCTCATCATGCAAACTGTCGATTTCAGATGGAGGAGTTCCATGTCCATTCAGGTATCTCTTTTCCTTGCTAAACTGAGGCAAAAACCCTTGACCAAAAGCTTTGAGGGCAACGGCAAAAATCACACCAGCAAGGGCAAGAGAAAGCATCTTAAATAAGGATAAGCTCCACTGTACAAATGAACAAAGCTACTATTGTTAAATACAAGTTACAACAACACCACATCAGCTGAGTACTAATTAGTAAAGCAAACATGGGGATGTTCTACTACTGTTAATGAAGCATATGTTACAACATACGATTAACAAAGATCTCACACTCATACCCGAGACAGTGCACAGTAGAAAAGTTCTAACATTGCTCATGGTGAACTACATCTATTCTAATATTTGACAAAAAAAAAAAAATACATCTATTCTAATCTGAAGGATGTGTCATATCAAATCATCGTTCAGTAACTGTTTGTCAGCAGACTGAATTAAACAATGTTTAGCCACCAGTTTCTGCTAACAATCTGGAAGGCTTGACAATTCAAAATTCTAATTTTACTAGTACCATCTTATGTAATGGCAATCGCAATATTCAGAAAATGTGTTGGGAAATATGCGCCCATTATTGCATGGGCTTCTATGGGTGATTCAGGCACATGATGCGGTTCAATATCCCACTTTGCCACTTGCATTTTTGCCAGGTCCATAAGATTACTAAAGTATTTTATGTCCAAGGTTTGTTCACCTAAAGAGTATACTAGTAAGAAGACAAAAGAAAAAAAATGAATGTTTGAATATAATTGAAGGCCAAAACATGTAAATTTTTTTTATCCTTTGCCACAGACTATAGTAATGTTCATATCCTTTTTAATAAGCAGCTACAAACTGCTTGGAAGTCCGTTTCAGTCACAATCACTAAGGGCCACTTTCAAGGTCATTCAGTGCCGGTATCTTGTCATTAATTTGGCATGAAGAATGCATGCATTGAATGGATTAGTGGGGTAATCCAATTGAAATTGGTCATTAACGCGTCTTAGACAATTGAAAATTGCTTATTAAATACATAAAAATACATGTGCATTTATGGTATTAGAGAAGTTGATAAAATAAAGACTGGAACACAAAAGAAATGATACAGCATGCAATCTCATAGGGAGAGTAAACTTTTATATGTAAGGGAGAGAATAAAAAACTCATTATCTAGTCAAAGAAGAGAAATGAAGGATCGTTCATTTCCCGCTTAAAAGATAATGAAAGACCACACGAGCAGCGAACAAAGCAGAGCAAATATCAAAGGAACAAAGTAGGCAAAGGTTGATAAATGACCGTGTTAATTAACAAAAACCACACCTAAAGCTGATTATGTACATTAGTCATCCCAGCATAGACTAAAAATTTCTGACAAGTTTTGATGGAATCCGAAATCCAATTTCCATGGATGTGGGCAAAAGCCGTGTTCCCTTGTCCAGTACTGAGCACATAGACTACTTGAATAGTTTGCTGTCTCCACTACATTCGTTAACCAAACAGGAAGTACTCTACTGGACACAGAACTCTATATAAGGTAACAGATCATGGAAGCATGGTGATATAAAGTTGTCGATGATTTACTCCAGTTCTAATAATAGGAAAAACTAGAATATGCATTGGCTACCTTTTCATTGGACAAGATGGTAGAATTCAGGACCATGTGACATGAAAGCTCTTTGGTGGGCAGTGTATAAACGTCTTCATAGAACAAATCTAGTATGTCGGCCAATCCAGCCTGCAAATTCCATCAAGAGTCAAAATGCATAAAGCACACCATTTACTACTGAAATTTAGATACATCAACCTAACGCTTAAATAATTTCCAAGTATGAGACTGAATAAGGGCAACTAGTTTGAAAGGACATCAACATTTAGTTTCCAAATAATCACTTATAGACTTCAAAGATCAAACATACTGGAGCGCTGACAAAAAGGTATCTGCTAAACATAACAAAATGGCATAAGCCTAAAGACAAGAAGAAAGGTACCATCTGGGAGTGGGTCAAAAGAACCTCTTGCATACTCCCATCGAGTTTCCTCCAGCCATCTAATTTCAGATCCAGCAGCTTTTGAGTATCAATTTGTAGCCTGTAGGCAGGTACATATTCAGTTAACCAAGCACAGAAATCAGGACCACCAATCTTCTCCAGTTTAGACTGCACAGCTTGCGTCCACCCAAAGAACTTTGACCCTGATTTACGAAGCCGAATTTTTCCCTTGCTCGAGCTAAATTGTTCCAGCAAAATTGTGGCATTTTCAACCATCTCATCTTCAAATAACTTCCACAAAATAACTGAAGAATCTTTTGAAGAAAACCTTCTGGGTTTCCTGAACCATCGAGAGACAGTACTAAAAAATTCTCCATGCGCATTGCCAAGCACAAGTTGTTCAGTACTTTGAAGAGCAGATGTACAAACAACTTCAGCAAGCATAGAAATGACTTGTTCATCCAATGAGCTGATGGCAAAGGACACAGGGACCTAATGCATAAGAGAACTGAAGCCATCAGTATCATGTTGCACCTGCAGGACAGACATGCTAGCATAAAGTCATATTAGACTAATATAAATGGCAAATATATATATATGCTTAAAAGCTATTCAGTAGAAAGAAGTTTCACCTCTCTGGGGCTTTCAAGATCTTCCATATTTCGTTCAGCTCCGGGATGAAACAATACCAGTTGAAAATTCCAAAGCTGCTGCACAACTACTTGTCTAAATGTCATGGCAAGTATGTTCCTTGATGTTGGGCTGCCCAGCATGTCTTTGGTAATTTTTAGTTTGCTTGCCTTCTCTTTAACTTTCCTAGCCGGCAGAAACTAAATAAAAGATGGTAGGAATAAGTGTAATTGAGTAAGATGGTAGCTCATTATTTGATTATTGAAATACTATTTCAGATAAACCTATTTTGAGATTTGAAGCAGTCAAGTAAAAGCCGTAAAACCAAAATTATCAATTCAATCCATTGGAAGGTGACAGTTGTTATAACCTGAGGGCCTTTTGATGAGCACCGTATTACAAGCAAGTTCTTACAGAAAAAATTCAAATACGGGGAGGGAAAGAGATGTATATTACATTTACAAATTGATTTTTCAAAAAAATTCATGATTGTGATATCAGGAGAGCTGTCCTTACACCTGTAATAGCTCAAGCCATTCTTTTGCAGCTAGTAGTTGGACAGCTAGAGAAATGCATTGCCTACACCAAAGCATAATAAAGCACTAATTTAGGAGTACTACTTTCTTTCATTCAGGCAAAATAGTCCAACTTGACTGGGGACATACATCATCTTGTATCTAAATCACAGAGGGACATAACGTGCAGAAAATAATTCGATCCACAATTGAAGTTTGCTGTCAGAAAGGACCGTCTGCAGCTTATGTTCCAAAAAGACGCTGCGATAGGATGAGGGAAACCGAAAATACTGCCCAAACAACATCATTCATCAGCCAAGAATCTGTGATTTGACAAGAAAAGATATCGATTGATCATGTCATGCAATGTCAAATTCCATGGAAACTTTCAGTCTCCATAGCCAGTACTTCGCATCCAACAATACCCACAATAGCAAAACACAAATCAAGAATGACAACCAAAATGCAAACCAACCACAGCGAAACATGTTTACTGAATTCAAAACCTATACTTCCTAATTTCCTAGCCCCGAATCAATCACACGTCATTCTGAAACCACGAGTTCCTCTACTAATACTATCACCAACCAGAAGAAAATCGATTTCAGTCAAGAATGCTGATTCATGCTCCCTCATCGCAGATGGCCGCAATTCCTATTGGCTCAGGTCATTAATAAACTTGCTCGAAAAACCCAATTAACATCATCAGAAAATGATTTCTACCATGATACAACATTCATGCCATTCCGCATCATTTTTCAAATCAATCAAATATTTAAAACGTATTCAAACATATCACTTTCCATTCAATCGCAACTATGTCTAGTCAAATTCACATTTCCTTAGCTATTTCCGCCCATATCATGCCTCAAACAGCAAGCAAATGCCAGAGATTACATAAAGCAAAATAAGAAAACTCCGCAGCTTCAACAATCAGAAACTCACCAATCGCGTGGAAACGGTGCTCCGGCCCTCAGCGCCTCCAGGGTACACGGTCTCGACCACCATCGCGCGCGCGCCGGACTCGACGTGCTCGCTGGCGGCCTCGCCGCCGTCGGCCGCGGCCGCGGTCAGGGCCTGCCCGAAGTCGACGGCCCCGACGATGCTGAGCCGGGCCGAGTCGTTCTCGTACGTCCTGACGCAGGGCAGCAGCCTCTCGTCGGAGCCGGCGATGGCCTCCAGGAATTCCTGTTCCGACGACGGGAGGGTCCGCGGATGGCCGCCGCAGGAGACGGTGGAGGGCGGCGGCCTCCGGAGGCGCGTGAGGTGGACCGCGGAGCGACGCTGGTGAAGCGTGAAGAGGGAGGATGAGTGCGCGAGAGAGTGAAGGAGCGACATTTCTCAGCGAAGAAGAAGAAGAAGAAGACGAAGATGAAGAAGACGAAGAGCGAAGGCCAAGGGATGGGGGTCGTTTTGCAAACGTTCTTTAAAGAGAAGAACGACAATGGACCCATTTGCAAAACTTTAATTTCAAAAGTGGCCCGAAAATATTTCTTTTTCGGCCCATGTAATGGGCAAGATATTTCAAGGTGTCCCATATGTTAAAACTTTTATGTCAAATAACCCTCGGGGCTTGAATGCACTTTTTTATCTCGTGATCAAAATCTGTCTGGACGACCGTGATCTTTTTTACATTTCCATCCGATGGTGAAAATATAGGGCCGTCAAATGAGTGGGTCGAATCGAAAATGGCCCGGTCTATTTTGACTTATTTAATCCGTTTTGATTAATTTTTGGGCAATATAAATTTCACAGGTATAAGATTTCGATAATTAAAAATTTTGTAGTACCATTTTTCCCTCCTTTTCTTTCCCTCCCTCTTTCTCTCCTTTTCTTGATCCATTTAGCAGCTTTTTCAATATTTATGCCCAAAAAAATGGCTAAAGAATAAATTATACTAATCCTTGATTAGGATCGTTTAAGTTTAGTAACTAAGGACCTTATTCGCCCTATGTAATCAAGTTTATATATGCTAAATAATGCACACACGAGATATATCAAATTAGGTTGTATTAAGTTATGGTATAGCTACTTCAAAGCAACGTGGTTTCCTAAAGTGCAACATTTGTCTCATCAGAATGGTAATGCGAACCCAGAACACCCTTCAATCTCAATCTTTTACAAAAAAAAAAAATGCAATATGTAACGCTTACTATAAGATGAATTAATATATTAAGAATGGACTACGACATGGAAAATGGACGCAATGATAACTTAGGATGGTCAATATAAAAGAATAGAGCGCGCATTTATGTGTGATTGGGAAAAGACACTGCCTGAAAGGACGGTCGGATTTAAGTTCATTACATAAATTATGAATATGAATTTTCGAGGTTAGGTCGAGTCAAAGTTAGGTATAAAAGGATATTGCCCATCCCGTGCAATTATCTTTCGAGATTATCATCAGTAGTTTCGAGTATAGTTTGAGTTCCTCCTCAAGTAAAGAGTTGGATTTATCTAAGTGAAGTAATGGGTGTTGGAAAAGTAATAATATATATACGTAACGCGATACTATTGCTTGTAATCAGAAAATATAAAATGAGATAATAAACAGAGATAAGAAAGCGATAACAATTTCAATAATAATAACCAAGCCAACATTAATATAATCTTTACAAATAAAGATTACAAATCAAAAATAAACTTGCTAGGTGCTATAAACTCGAAAAAGAATTGAACAAGAGATGAGCTATGGATTACCGAATCTCTTTAAAACAATTAGTTTTTGCCCACGGTACTTTACATATTTACGAACTATACCTCACCATATACAACACATCGAACCCGTTTGTATTAGTACTATACGAACAGGACTCGTTCGGATACTTCTTGTAACTGGCACTTAGAGAATGACTACAAAGAAAACTAGAGGAGTATTTCGAGGAATTCTTCTTTTTGAACTAAAGAGATACGTTTATTTATAGACAAAGAAAACAGCAGCAGAAAATTGAAAGGACATGAACTCAAGCGTGTTATGCTCACATTTGTTGAGCCATTAACCTTTAATAACAACAATATTGAAGTCATAATATAATTACAACAATTCATGTCTAGTAATTACAAATAAACTGCTCAAAAAATGAGCTAAAGAGACATGTTGAATCCATAATTACAACAATCCCCTTCATGAACGAATTAACAAAATAAGAATTCTTAGTGCGAATATGGAAATACACTGCATCAAGATGGGTAGCTTTCGCTTTGAACCCTTTTTAGTGAAAGCTTATCGAGCTTACTTAACTAATCGTGGACTAATAGCTAGTTATTTGTGTAGGCCCATACAATTCACCTCACAAAGATTTCTTAAAAGTAGAAGTACTTCTTTGCTTTGGAGTATAGTATAAATGAAAATTTTATATTTTGCTTAATTTATTACTATCACATAGATCTACCATGAATTTTTCATGGAACTAAAAAATTTCATTATGTTCTAAATATTTAGGATTCGTGTAAATTTGTTTAGTGTCCACCACAAAATTTTCAATTCACTACTAAGTTTAGTAAGTAAATTTAGAGTCTTAGAGTCCTAATGGCTACATTGCATTTCTATTGTAGCCTGATTGTTTCAAGGGTTAATACCACGAAAAACTCTAAACTGGTACACTTGTGACACATTTACCCCAAACTATTTTTTTGATAATAAAAAACCCCAAATTGGTACACCTTTGACAATTTTACCCCGAACTATTTTTTTGACCATCAAAAACCCAAAAATGGTACATCTGTGACAATTTTACCCTGAATTTACCACAAAAAACCCCAAACTGGTACATATGTGACAATTTTCCCATGAATTAAAATTTTAATATTATTTTTTTATTTTTTTCGAATTTTTATTTATTTATTTATTTTTTTCCTTTTATTTTTTTTTTCTTTATCTTCAACCTCTGGCCGGTCGCCGGTCCGGCGATCGGCCAGAGGCGGAAGCTGGCGAGGGCCGCCCTCGCCGGCGTCGGGCGAGGGCCGTCCTCGCTAGATCCGGCGAAGGCGACCTTCGCCGGTATCGGGTGAGGGCTGCCCTCGCCTGTGTCGGGCGAGGGCCGCCCTCGCCGGCGTCGGGCGAGGGTTGTCCTCGCCCGCCCAGGGCAAGGGCGATCCTTGCTCGACTCGACGAGGCGCCTTCGCCGGATCCGGCGAGGGCGACCACGCCTCGCTGCGTCGGCGAGGGTCGCCCTCGCCCGGCGTCGGCGAGGTCGCTCCTCGCCTTTGCCTAGGCAAGGGCGACCCTCGCCCGACTCTCGGGGCGGGCGACCCTCGCTGCGTCGGTGAGTGGCCGCCCTCGTCCAGCTTCGGGCGAGGCGGGCGAGGGCCGCCTCGCTAGATCCGGCGAGGGTCGCCCTTGCCGAGTCGAGCGAGGGCGGCCCTCGCCGGCTTCCGCCTCTGGCCGGTCGCCGGACCGGCGACCGGCCAGAGGTTGAAGTGAAGAAAAAAAAAGAAAAGAAAAGAAAAGAAAAAAGAAAAAATTCAAAAAAATAAAAAAATAATATTAAAAATTAGTTTGGGTAAAATTGTCACAGGTGTACCAGTTTGGGATTTTTTATTGTCAAAAAAATAATTTGGGGTAAATGTGTCACAAGTGTACCAGTTTAGGGTTTTTCGTGGTATTAACCCTTGTTTCAATAACATTGCTTTTTTGTTAAATTATTTTGAATAATAGTTTGATTTTGCCGCCTGAAACAAGCAATTATCACATTTTGCCTTGGGAGGACCGTAAAATTACTCGTTGACTAGACCTCTGGCGACCAAGTTTAATTAGGGGTGTCAACGGGTCGGGTCGGGTCGGGTTTTCATGATACCCGACCCGATCCGAAACAATGAATATATGTGCTTGACCCGACCCGAAACAAGACCCGAACATGATATAGCCGCACAATCGGGTCAGGTTCGGTTCGGGTCGGTTCGGGTCGGGTCATGTTTGAGCGGGTACTTTTGACATCCCTAGTTTTGGTTACTTGTCAAACTGAACACACAGAAGCAAGACCCTTTTAAGTATTCAGAATGCTTTTGAATAGAAATTCTGTGTTAATTGTAGTTTAGACTGAAATCGACAGAGGATTTTGCTCCTGAAAAGCAGGGGTTCATCGTGATACTATTCAGTTCTTGATGTTGCGAGAAGGCGATCAATTTGGGAATTCGATGTTGATAGGTGAGACTTCAAGAGTTGTTCAATGAAGAAGGGTGTGAGGCAAAGCTACGGTTGAGTGAAGACGGGAAGCCTCACGTGACAGATAACTCAAATTACATTGTAGACTTGTATTTCAAGACTCCGATTAAGGACGGTCCTGCCGCCTTGGTCATCTTGATTCGTGCCCCCGAGACGGCGATGCCTTGGTCATCGTGCGAGGATCGTGAGTCGCCGAGAAGCGATCGCCGCTCAAGAGGTCGTCGCCGATGGCGTCTCTGGACCGCTTGCGATGGTAGTTCCCAGGGACAGAGACGGCGGCGGCGGCGTTGTTGTCGCCGGTCGATGATTTCGCCGCGCAGAACTCGGGGATGATGCGGTATTTCCGGAGGCGGCGGCGCGATGGCTGCGAGATCTGGTTGGACGGCGTGGTCTCCGGCAAAAGGATGAAATCCTCCACCGCCTGGCTAGGGTAGAAACAGGTCGTCTCGTTGGTGAGCTTGAGGACGCCACGGCCGTCGATCTCGGCGACGCCGCTGAGGGGTTGGGCTTGGGTACCCAAGCCTAATAGATCCAAACAATACCCAATTCTTTTTATTGTTACCCAAACAAGTTGAGATCCAACCCGACCCAATAAGAAAATTTCGTGTTCGGGTCGGGTCGGTTCGTGTTTCGGTTCGGGTATTGTGTTTGGTTTTGACACCCCTAAGTTTAATAACATCTGACCAAGTTTAATTATTAACTGTACTCTTGCTTCTAATGGAATATCCATTATATCGATGGCTAAGTGTTATTTTTCCCATTTTCTTGCATTAAAGTCACACTTAATGAACCAAAAAAAAAATTCTAGATTTTTTTAGATAATCACACTCTATGGAAAATCTCTTGTGTCACGATACCTATTTGAAGAGATCATTTTAAATGTATTATTCTAAAATATCTAAAATTATTCTGCCAATTTCTTAAAGTATCTCGAATACTTATTAGGTAAATAAAAAAGTATTAATTGGTTTTCATAAAATATATTATGATTTTCAACCTCATCAATAAATTTTTTGTGTCGTAAATTTAAGTGCATTATTTTACTAGAAGGCTCTAAAAATTTTAATTTGTAGCATTTGGGCCTTTGATAAAAAACTTAGATGTCACATTTTTTTTCCTTTTTTCTTTCCCTTTTTTCGTTTTCTTTTTTTCATTGTGGTAACAATAGCTATTC